AGTTATGCCCAAAACAAGTTTGGCACAAACCGGGGCCAGAAACCCTGAAACTGGAAAACATTGACCAGGAGGAAAATCTAAGAGTCCACGACTCAACAAAATGTGAAAATGAATCCCGTACAAGGATCCAGGCTCAAAACAAGGCATTGAGCAATAACTTTCATTAATTGCACAATGGCCCTTCCAAAAAGTGAAAACTGTGAAACTGCCCCAGAATGAAAATATCTTCCAAAAGATATTTTCTTAGATACCCCTGAAATAAAATATCTTCAAAAGATATTTACAAAAAACACCCCAAGAAAGGGAAATGTTTCCAAAGAACTTTGCACTTATGCCCCTATGGGCACTGGGAGCAACTAGAGTATTTTCTCACGAAAGTAAAGATACGTATATCATAGAAATCATTGAGAATGAAGATACGTGAAGTCAGAAACCAACTCCAAATACAAGAAGTGTGGTTATGCAAACAAAGTGACAATGAGGAAAGGACGAAATAGGGAAAAAGACAAAATAGGGAAAAGACAAAAAATGAATAGTGTCGAAAAATGAAAAATGCGAAACTGACTCGGTCCTCAAAGGAAGTTGTCAATCCACAGAAAAGAGTCTCGAAAATCACTCCAGAGCACTCAAGACGACATTAATCGACAAGAAACCAAACTCAGAAGGGAAAAGACAACAGAAAAAATTTATCCGAAAAATCCGGATCATTACAATAATGAAATTACCATCTTACCCTTTTTGATAGGGTTAGTAGGGAAAAGTCATTTCAACCTCCCTAATGCCTCCTCCATCTCTCTATTATCGTTCTCTCTTTCTAGATTGTTCCAAAAATCAAAATCCACATCTTTCAAGCTTGCCCCCCTTCTCTCTCTGCAACTACTAATTGGTATGTACGGGTTTTGTTTCTTAAATCAACTAACCTATTTCAGAGCTAAGAGAGGATCCTTTTGCTACTAGACAAGCAAAAAAAAAGCAGCGAGTTGAAAAACAGAAGAAGCATCAATTGCATAACTTGAAACAAGCTGCAAAAGTTAGGAATTCTTATTTGCTAACATGTCAAGACATTCGGCCCCAAGTTGCGTGGTCATTGTCCAAGAGTAATAATCCTGGGTTGCGCACTTATTGTTCATTTGTAGTATACATAACCCAAGGTTTTGCAGCTACCCTTTTGAGTCTATAATGAAGGAGATTGAGGGGCCTGAGTTGAGACCTCTGGTGAAGGAGTTGTATGCAACTTGTGGCAACCATGATTCGAATGAGAAGATTTACAAAGACAGGGGCAAGGTAGAAATTTAGGAATTAGATCTTACATGGATCGTCAAAGTGATTGCTTCGACTCCGACCACGAGTCTAATGTTAAGATCGACTTGGAACTTCACTCTGGCTCCGACTCTTGTTTTGCAACTTTCTCTCTCTCTCTTTGCAACTGCAAACTACATATATATATATATATATATATATATATATATATATATATATATATATTTCAGCCTCCCCAATAGCCTCCATCTCGTTCAGCCTCCCAGTCTCTCTCTGCAACTGTAAACTATATATATATATATATATATATATATATATATATAATCGGCTGCCCCTTCTTTTCCTCTCAAATCTTCTCAAAAGTGGGAGGATTTGATTTCACTGTGTAGGAGGGATTTGGAGGGATAGGCTATCCCTCCAAATCCTTCCCATCTTTCCTTTCTCTTTAAATCCCTCCATCCAAACACACTAAATACTATCCTTCCCTTTCTTTTCTTTCCAAATCCCTCCATCCAAACGGGGCCTAAATGTTCTCACTACCTCTCAAAACTTCTTAGAGTATTGTTCTCATTTTCTCGGAGTGTAGTAAATCATGAACACTTGAACTTCTTCAAATCTGCATCCGATCTCTGATCTTCAAAATTTTGAACCGAAAAATTACAACTCGATCGGACTTGTTTTGACAACGAAATTAGCCAATTACAATATATATATCTCACAAAAATTAGTGAGCATGCAGCTAATGTTTTAAGGAGATAGACCTAGCATCAGAGCATGTAGTTTATCAGAATTGGCTTATGAAGTCATCAATCTCAAGCTGGATGAGAAGCCAATTGGTGTTGCATATGACCCCTTTTTCACATTTGATAGTGGGAAGACGATGGAGTATGCAGCAATTGATGCTTATGCTTCATTCAAGATTAGGAAGAAGTTACATGGAAGACGACTTCAATGGGTTCAATTGTTCATTTTGATTGGTGTCATTTTCATTTGGTTCATGCTTGTAGGAACATTGTTCTTGTATGTTTCTCATTAGCTTCCTTTTGATTGAAACTAGTCTTTCATTATTTTTGTGGTGGATGGCATGAATTTTTTTGGAGCCCAAGGACAATTCTCTTTTGGACATCAATGAAGAATTCTAGTTTTTTGTTATTGACTCAATTCAATTCTTAAAAAAAAAAAAAAAAAAAAAAAAAAAAAAAAAAAAAAATTCTCATTAATTAATAAGAAAATGTTTAGAATTAGTTTTTTTTTTTTACAAGATAAAATTTTTAAAAGTTAGATTATTAGATGTAGAGAGTCAATCCGATACTTAAAGTTCATTAAAGGCACAAACCCACTGGCCCAAAGCCAAAGTTAAATTTGTCAAATTCCTTTTTAATCCACCTCAGCCACTTTTTTTTTTTTTTTTTTTTTTTGTAAAAAAAAAATGTTTTTTTTTTTTAGGTTGGTTTGCTTTAAGTTAAGCTATAAGAATAAAAATCTAGATCCAGAAGTCCACAGCTGCGTGTCCTCTACCTCTCCACGTCATCCCGCCGGCCGCACTCTATATTGGACACAGCTCTCTCAATCCAAAGGACCTAAAAGTCAAGTCAAGTAGTGCAACATCGATCACTACAAGAAAAAAGGGCTTCTACGAGGGGCCAAAAATGCCGTGGAAACCTATTCACGGCGCATTCTAGGCACTCGTGTACGAGGGTTCCGTAAATACTCAATTTTTTTTACGGGAAAAAATCTACCTCGTAGAAAAACAATAGATTCCCTGTAGAAAATAATTTCGTTTATATATATTAAATTTTATTTAATTAACCTACGAGGTGCCGAGTCATGCCGTAGAAAAGGCTTCTACAGCGAATTATAACTACCCGTAGAAAACTCACGACCGTAGAAAAGTTTTTTATGGCGAAGTGTAACTACCCGTAAATAATCTCATGAGGTACCAACGAATGCCGTAGAAAGTTTTCTACGGCAAGTTGTAACTACCAGTAAATAATTTGACGAGGTACAGAAATATGCCGTAGAAAATTTTTCTAAGGCGAATTTTAACTACCCGTAAATAATCTCACGAGGCATTGAAGCATGCAACAAAAAACTTTTCTACGGCAAATTTTAGGTACCCGTAAATAAGATAAACCATTCTCACGACTTGCCATGTACGTTGTAGAAAAGTTATTTAGGAGGATTTTCACTTATTTACGGTATTTCAAGCTCCCCGTAAATATAATATATATATATATATATTTATAAATAATGCACTTTCCCGTTAATCAACCATTACCTATAATTCACATCACTTTCAGCTATAATTCAATTCAAAAAACATACATATCCCATTAAATATATCAAAAGAGTTAAAACATTTTTACAATTCATCATTTATCAATGTTCCAAAACAGGAAGTACATCAATTTGTCAACAAAATCATCAATTTGATAAACCTTCTAGCACTTGAGTTTCAGTCTGCACTTGTCAAAAAACCACCTCATTGTACAAAATCCAAGAAAGTAGTTGCAAAATCCAAGAAAGTAGTTGCATAACACAAGTCTCAAATTCAGAATGCTAATAAAAAAGGGAAATAACAAGATTATTATTTATGGATCAAACACAAACATTTTGCTAAGAATTTTTTTCTTAGATCTGCCAAAAATAGTTCAAGGAGATAATTTTCCTTAATTGAATATTAGATTTTTGCAAGGATGTATGAGAACAAATAATATCATAATCTCTTTATATTCATGAGCACTACAATATCATAATATATAGTCTCTTTATCTCATGATTATGAGCAAATCTGAAACATTCTGAAGCAATTCTGAAACATTCTGTAACAAATCTAAAACATTGTAGGTTTTTGGTGCAACAATTATAAGCAAATCTAAAACTTTGAATACAAGTTAAGTCTTATATATATATATATATATTTATTATCTTAGTTTGCTGCTAGTTTAATTTATATATGTTTTCTTTTTATGTTCTATTTTAATAATTTTTCAGATTTCCGTTTTTAGGCTCACTACAAGAATTTTGAACAATAAGAACGGATTATTAGAGACAGTTTAAAAATCCTTTCAAAAAGGTAAAGTTTTTGGGACGTCTAAAGCTTATCTTCTGAACTCTTACTCCTTCACTCCTTTTCTTTGGTATTTTATTTCTTCTTTTTTGATACTTTGATACACACTCAAATTACAGGGAATAAGAAGAGGAAAAGTTTCGTTTAGAGAGGAAGTGCACAACCCCTTCCCTTTCCTTCCTTAACGCCGACACGTGTATTTGTAGATAATCGGCTGATTCTCCAACTTTTTGAAGGTAATCTTTCTAACCTTTTGAAGGATTTTTGTGTGTATTTTTATTTGGATGTCTCTGCGTGTTTTGCCTTCTATTTTTTGTGTATAACCCTAAGAAAAATAGTGAATTTTGTGTTCTGTACTCCTTTGGGTGATTTGAATGCTTATTAATTTCATTTGAGTGAATGATGTTGTGTTTATTCTAGTTTATCATGATTATAGGAAATTCTATATGATTTTCCCATTGGGATTATTGTTCTCTTAATTTGATGTTTCTAAGCAATTATCTTTTGTTGCAATTGTGAGTTTTCAGTACCATTTTCAAATCAAACACTCATTTTTCTCATGTAGAGCTGCAAAATAAGGGCACTCCTTAATAGATTTATTTATTTATTTATTTATTATTATTATTATTATTATTATTTATAATTTGTCTATATATTAAAAAAAGGAATATTCATAATCAAGAGGGGCATACAACATCCTACAAACAAGAACAAAACAAAGGAAAGCCATTACTGACAACTTAAGGGCAACTCAACGAAAAAAACATCAAGTAGCAGTAATTACTAATTCATTACATCCAAATCCCTTGCAATAAATTTTTTTAATTTGATATCCTCCAGAACCTTCTGACTGATATGAATTCATTTTGTTCCGTTCCAAGAATTCAAAGTAGGTTTTGTACTGATCCCATAAGATTGAAAAATTCTCTGAATTCTCCATTGATACGACTTGCTAATTTTTGAATTAATTCCCTTTCAATATCACAAACATTGACAAACATCCTATTGTTCCTCTCCTGCCATAAGTGATAAATTATAGCAAAGCAGATATTATTGTTAACAGGCCATGGTAATTTAAAATAGATAGTAACAACAGCAAAGATTTTATGAGACAAAAAGCAATCAAAGAAAAGGTGGGGAGTATCTCCTAATGCCTCTGCACAAAATGCACTTATCTTGATGGACCACACCCTTCGGCAATAGTAAATTTGTGATCTTCCCAAGTAATTCGATATTGACTATTAATTCTGGATTATTAATTGTTTGGAGTATATTGATTTTGAGTGTTGTTTTTGGAGTTCTTAGTTGTTATTTAAGTTAGAACAGGAATTTGGAACTAGGGATGGGATTTTTTCTATACTGGGTTAGAATCAGCTGATCTATTATTGTAGTTATTATTATTCAATTGTAATTTCTAGAATTATAAGTTGTTGTTTGGGGCCAACCCTCTCTGATAATCCAATTTTGATTATTAGCATGAAAAAAAAAAAAAAAAAAAAAAAAAGTCTTTATTTGATACTCTTGTTACTTTAGCTGTATTTCTTTTCAAAATCTCGTTTCATTTTATTCAGTGGTTGATTTTGGGCAATCCAATTTCAAGTGAAATCGAGGGAGTAAATTAATTTTTGACTAAAATGTTGCTAGTTGAAGGTATGTCACTACCTGTTCAATTTTTTCTTGTGGTGGTATTTAAAGGTTTCTCTAGGCTTTCTTTTTCTTTATGGAACCAGAGGAGGAAAATAGTATGCTACTTACCATGTTATATAATATTCTCACTTTTGATATTAATACATATTTGAATTTGAAATGTCTTAAGAATGCTGATTTTGTGATGCAGAGGCCTAACAACGTTTTTTTACAGCTCAACTTTTGTTATATCTGCATCTTATACAGTTGATTAAGTGATTAATAGTTGTGCTAAATTATTTACTTAGTCAAATGCACTTGGTATAGTTATTTTTAGATTACAAAAATTATTTTGACCCATGTACAGAAGTTTTTTTACAAAGCTAAAAACCCTAATGTTGAAGAGTTCTAGTGGATGTAATCCTCTTATTCTTCTTTCATTCCCATATGTTTTGACATGGGGCATCTGACCTATTCCTCATGCTATTGTCATGCCATGTTAGGCGAGTTTGGAGGCACAGGTATTAACACTATTGGGTGGGGGGGTTGGGTTCCATTTTGATATTTATGCAATCCGTTATTGTTTTACAAGCTTAGACTAACAAGTGTAAGAATACATGTTTGAGTTTGAGAGCAGTTATGTTGTGCATATAATGGCAAAAGTTTCTTCTATACCAAGTGTGCCTCTCCTAGTACTTTTGATTAATGGGAACCACACTGGCTAATGACCTTACACTGTGTCATTGTTTCTTATGGCATTATATTTGTTGTATGACACATCACCTATTCTCTGTTTAGTTCAACTTTTATGTTTGAGTTGTTTTGACATTTTATGTGTTTCAGTTACTTTAATTTGTGATGTTGGTGCATGTGGAAATAAGGTGTTTTGAGAATTTTTCAAGGTTAATTAGCAAGAGTGCATCATGGGAACTGGTGTAATATTGTGAAAATTTCATATATTTTCAAAACTTTACTGATTCTTTAGTTCATTGCATGAGAAGTTGTATTAGTATTCTTGCTTAGTGGACTTGTTTTTATTTATTTATTATTCTTATTATTATTTTTTATCTCAGATAATGGTGGAGGAATGACTCCTGACAAAATGCGTCAATGTATGTCTCTTGGATATTCTGCAAAAAGCAAATTAGCAAACACTATTGGTCAATGTGAGCTGCTCTTTCCTTGCTGAAAGGAAAAAAAAAAAAAAAATCACAATTTAATGATATCATTGATTGGATGTTATTATAAGTTTTCTTCACTACTATTATTGTTTATTTTTTCCCAGATGGAAATGGTTTTAAGACAAGTACTATGAGGCTTGGGCCAGACGTTATTGTTTTCTCATGATGTCATGGGAATGAGATAAGAAGGTAGGTGTTTTTTTATCTCATGTCCGCAACAATTATTGGTTTCTGTCATGATTATTTCCTATTAGTATTTGGAATGGTTATCAGCTTCCAAGTTCCCAAGAATAAATATCGTCAAGCTACATAATTGCTTGTGATATGATGGCATATATGCTTGATATACAGGATGGATACTTTATTATTTTTGTCATGGGCTTTTTGTCCAGCTGATTTATGTCTATATATATAAACATATATAGGGTCATAAATAATTAGAATATGTCTGCTCATTAGTATAGGGTCATAAATAATTAGAATATGGAGAAGTCATTCTCTAATTTACCTACAAATATTGTTCTCCAATTCAAGTAAAGGTATAAACAACATATTAACAACTTCTCCTCCACAACAATCAATCAAAACCTCCACATACGATGATCCCATACTCCCATGCTTTTAACATTTTAAAACAAGAAATAAAAATGACTTCCACACGGGCCGATGTACCAATAAGGTAATAAAGTTTAAGATACACCGCAAAATTGGTCACTTAAAGGCACGTGACCCCCCTAAGTATAAGTATAAAAAGCATTAAAATTGTGCAATCATAAAAATAGCTTAGTATTTGACATTTGTTGTAGACTAGAATCATAAAAATTCTGATTCTTCTACTCCTAATGAACTGGTGATAATCAATCATGTCAGGAAAAAATATTTCAAAAATATAATGCCAACAAATACATAAAAAATCAGATCGTATGACTAATTTAAGAAATATAATAACAAGTTAATGAATGACTAATTGACCTGAATAATTTTCACATATTTCTTAAACCAGAAAATTGGTTTGTTCTTGTTTTGACCTCATAAACCTCACTAAATAAGGTTTTCAGTTTAAAAAGCCTGTTGAGGGTGTGTTGTGAGTGCTGTGACTAAAATTCAACTGTTTCATTGCTATGTTCTTTATCTGTGTAATGGTAATTTGATATTACATGACTGAGAAAATCAAAAACAAAAGAATGTAGCTGAGAAATGACCATTCAGTCCCTAAGAACAGTGCAGCTCTAGAAATCAACCTGTGAATCTCACTTTGATCTGTAATTTGATATTACCTTGCTATAAACTGAGATATTACGATTTGAGCAACTGTAATATGTTAATTCAGTGGTGTGGGATCTATATCCAAGGAAGTCTAACCTCAAAATTACAGTTTTACCCTCAGCTTGTTTAGGTTTTGCAGAAACCTATTGTGAGCAGATTTTGGAACTGAATTTAATTTAATTATTGATTTGTTTATCATCTAAGCTTCTGTGTGTAGAAGATACAAGGTTATGAGAGGATGTACAAGGCCTGAGACATTGTAAATTGTCATTTATACCCTCTGATTTGAGGTATCACAGAAGCAGCAAAACTGAGTCTGTTATAAGTTGTTTGCTCCTTCATTCAAGCTCCAGTGTTTATATCCTTGCTTATACAAGGGTTTGGCACGAATTGACTTGAGAAGGATTGGGCTGAAGCCTCTCAGGGACACAAGTGAAGGGAAGAGGCAGAACTCTCTAAATGGAATATTCAAATATCTTGCTTTATTAAATAATTTGTTTAGGAAAACAAAAATATAATACATGTTTTTACTTCCACGAACAAATTTTCATAGCAAGGGCTTAGACCAAGTGATATCACCTCTTCCTGTTCAGGATTCCATATATTATGCTATATAGATACAGAAGATTGCGTAAATATATCATTATACATAACCAAGAGAAAAAAAAATTAAAATCTGGAATCTCATAAACATATAAAGTAGGAACACAATGGCATATAGATAAGGTACTTGGTACAGCAAAAGACGATAACTGATGAGTGCTGAAAAGTGCGTATTTAAACCCCTTAAGCTTAGGCATTCTAGTACCTTTATCTATCTTACTTTACCATTTTAGATTGATTTCGTATTATTTCCATTTTCAGGCACTTATCCCGAAAATAAGCTAACTCAGCCAAATAAGAGCAGAAATGAAGTAATTCTGGGATAAATCAAAGAAAGGAGCCAAATGGAAGTAAAAGAAAGAAAAAGGTAGAAATCAACATCTTCGATTGATCTCAGATCAAAGTTCGATCAATCTAACATGATCGATCTCAGCACTTCAATGTGGATCAGAGCCATGATGACATTTTCAAAGATCCCAAAAGTTCGATCGATCCAACATCATTCTTCGATCGATCGAACTGCTTTGTCCTTATCCAAATGATTGATCTTATCTAGTTGTACCACCCTACCAACCACTTTTGTCCTTTTCCCAAAAATATTTTCAAAATATCTCAGATTTGTCTTTATCCAAAAAGCGCCACCAGTGAAGATCAATCCAGCCTAAGTTCGATAGATCTCAGCCATGTTCGATCGATCCAAGTCCAAGGTTCGATCGATCAAACTTCCTCCAGTGCGAAAAAGTTAAATTTCCAGCTCATTGAAAGTTGTCCTTTATCCAATCATTGGGGAATATTTTGTGCACGACCCCAGCTCATTTTGGGTGTCATTTGACCTACCAATATAAGGATAAGGATTACTTTTTATAAGAGAGGACCTAATACCATAGGATATCATCTCATACCTTGTAAGAACTCTTGGAGAGCAAGCTTAGAGGAGGAAGAGGCTAGAGACACCATTGGAGACTCTTCATCAACCAAGGAGCAAATCTCTACCATGGAGTTAGCCCTTGAGGGTTGGAGAAGCACCACCATGAGTGGCTAGACATCCTCTTGGGGCTAGAGGTAGCCCTAAGCATGCTTTCTACATCTTGATTTTGTGTATTATTGAGGGATTAGTGTTGTAATACATGTTTTGACACTTTTATATATATAGATCTTGTTTATTCAATGATTTATGTGGTTTAATGCTTCTAATTGATCATTTCATTCTATCCATATATCTATGTATGGTAGAATAGATGTTCATGTGTTTGTCTCTATTTCTTGTGTTATTGATACATGTCTATGTGTATTAATGCCTTAGATCTAGAGATTGTCAAAACATTTTGCTTAAAAGAATG